TGACTGTCGTCCACAGTAGGACATACCGTTTACATCTCAACTCAGAACATACATTCAGGTCTGTATGAATAAATTTTAAAAAGTAGGTTTCGCACAGTTACCTTACAATGGATGGTACTAGGCTACTCTCTTTTTCTTTTTCTTTCTCCTTCTGTCTCCCTCCCTCTCTCCATCCCTCCCTGTCTCCCTCCTCCCTTCCCCCCTCCTTTCCTCCCTTCCCCTCTTCCCTCCTCCCTCCCTTCCTCTCTTTCTTCCTCCCTCCCTTCCTTCCTTCCTTCCTTCCTTCCTTCCTTCCTTCCTTCCTTCCTTCCTTCCTTCCTTCCTTCCTTCCTTNTCCTCCCTCCCTTCCTTCCTTCCTTCCTTCCTTCCTTCCTTCCTTCCTTCCTTCCTTCCTTCCTTCCTTCCTTCCTTCCTTCCTTTTTTAGATGCTGGGCAGGACCCATTGAATTGATTTTATGAAACACTAATGGGCACCGTCCGTAATTTTGAAAACACGGGTCTAAAGAAACCTGCGCCAGCCGCCTGCTCTCGGTTACGAAGTCCATCAAACTCTGCTTTATTGTTTCTCTTTCAAATCACCCTCAAGGCTTTTTAGCTGCCGCTCGGCGATCCTGTGATGAGGTGTGTATCGATCCAGATTCTCTCCTTCCCTGCCTGTCTCTCTGAGCAGCCAGCCCTTGCTGCTTTCCAATCAGGGTATGAGTGTCATCTCAATCCGTCGCAGGTCTGCGGGGGGAGGCGCAGACGTGGTCGTAAATCACAGCCTTGCGGGCCACCACCTCACTGACCTCGCAAACGCGAACGGGGCCCGCTGTTCAGGTGGCTTCTCTGTCTCCTTTCCTTCCCGCGATCCTGCTTCTCCACGGAAGACGAGGGAGCTGCTTCTCAGCGCCTGGTTTTCCACCTCGGTCCTTTGGGGGCCCACCCCACCCTTGACTTAGCAAACCGCATCCGTGGCAAAGCGGTTTAGGTCCGTTAGGTCTACGTGTCCTTTTCTCTTAGCCGTTGACTCAAGATTTACGTCCTGTTCTCGACCGGAGATGCTGCTGAGCTCTGTTCTCGGGTGTTCGCGTGCTTGTCTCCGCAGCCAAGGGCAGACACCTCACTTGGCTGGGGCAAGAACCTATTCGTCACCCCCCTTCTTTCTCAATCATAAAACCGCCAGCTCCTGAGAAGGGTACTGGGTAGAGTCTTCAAGAGGCTCGGACTCCCCGACTCGTCAACTGAAGTTCAGTCTTGACCACCCACTGGAGGGGAGGGTGTTTCGCAACCATTTCCATTTTCGGATTTTAATTTCAAATCCTCCCCTATCAAACCTTGGGGTTTGGGCCTATTGAGGACAGATTCTCAGTTCCCTGTATTTGTCGTGCGAAACCAGATTCACACAACCTGGCGTCCGTGTCGTTTAGGGAAAATGGCGTGATCGTGGGCTTGCGGATAGGTCCGGGGTGGGGGTGGGGGGTCCTGGGGACATTGCCAGCTGAGTTCCTCGCCAGCCTGTCTACACAGCTGGCAGGCGAGGGCTCTTCCTGTGTCCCTTTTCAGTTTGTGCCCATTGTTTGGAATTCCGATTCCAGATGCGGGAAAGCCTCCTCAGAGGGCAGAGCACAGAGCGAACCGGCCTGCGGGAGAAATGAGGGGCTGGGCCGGGAGAACCGAGGGTTCTCTGCTAATTACCTGCTCCGGGTTCTGCTGTGATTTGCTCCCCAAACCTCGTTTTACGTGATACTGACCCTTAATAAACAAAACGATTTGACTAATAATAGTATCACTCATGTTGCTTATAAACGAAAGAATAAAACCCCCTTAGTAAATATTGTCTGTTTGTTTACGGGGATGTGACTCACATTTATATACACTTTGAGGCTCTGACTCTACTCTTATGCAATGTTGCTATTTTAAAACAGACCGCCCTGAAACCTGGGCCCCAAACGTCCACAGGGTCTGGCCCAGCGCAGGGCTTTGCTCTCATATTGGTGGTGGTTTGCAGTTTCTTCCCAAGGGCAACAGATCTGGGTTGTGTTCTATCACCGTCCGGGAGGACAGTGCCTCAGCCCTGGGAATAGCTTCCGCCTGTTCTCTGCTGCTGCTTAACAATTTTACCCCCAAACGTAACGACTGAAGGTCATGATTTGACTTTGCTTCCCTTTTTGTGGGTTAGGTATCTGGACAGGAGGCGACTGGGCATCTGGTCTGTGGTGCCAGCGGGGTGGCCGCCTTGGAGAGGCTCATCCACGCGGCGGGCCGTCGGCTGGGAGCTCAGCGGACACGATTGACCTTGGCTTTTTTAGCTTGGTGGCCTCGAGGGAATAGGACTTCTTCCATAGCAGCCCAGGGCTTCCAGAGAGAGTGCAAGAGCCAGGAAGGGGACTGAGGCTCAACAACGCCCCCGCGTCCCTTTTGCCATGTTCTCTTGGAAAAAGCAGTCTCAGAGACAACCTGTATTCAAGGGAAGGGGACGCGCACCCCTCTCTATGTGAGGAGTGTCACAGATCTGGGGCCACTTTTAATCGACCCTAAGAAAAAATTGCCAACTCTCAACACAGGCCTCTGAGACTGGGAACGACTTGGCCTCACATTTCCAACTGAGCATGAACAGAACATACTTAGGACCCTGGGTTTGAATTAACCCTAATCCTAACCCCTAACCCTAACAATGAGCAAGTGCCAATTACTTGATAAATACCTGTCGCTAATTGTTGAATCTGCTATCTTACCTTAAATATGGTCTACACCGAGGCCAATCCAGGCAGTCAGTGAATCAGAAAATACCTGTGAAGCATTTATTCTGTGCAGCCATTATACTCGGTGCTGGGAGCCCAGCTGTCCTCAAGGTGCCCAGCCATGGCCCTTGCCTTGTAGAGTGTAGCACAGGAGACAGGTATTTGTGAAATAATTTCATAAATAAAAATAAAGTCGCATCCGATAGAAGCGCCATAAAGGAAAGGCATATGGTGCAAAGAGAGGTGGAGATCAGGGAGGGCTTCCCTAAAGAAGTGATGATTGAACTAAGATCTGCAAGATAGGTGAAGTGGGAAGGGCTGAGCATCGAGGCAATGGAAACGGGCTCTGCCGCGTCCCAGGGCAGGAGGAAACTGGGTGAGGAAGGGAGGCCAAAGGATTAGTAGCCTAAAAATGAGTCAGCCCGAGGGAAGCCAGTGCAAGCTGAGGCGGGAAAGCAGGAGGAGGCCAGAGATGGCAGAGCCCCAGAGACCATCGGGTTTGCTCCCCAAGGTCGCAGGCAGGCACCTTGCCCAGTGCCTAGCAAATTCCATCCGTTTGTCCATCCGTCTGTTCCTCCATCTGCCCAACTGTCCACCGACCACACACTCAGCGTGGTATGTCTCTCTGATCACCGTCCGTGTGCTGGAGATACAGGGGTCCATAAAAGGACCTCAAAATGCCTCTGCAGATCTCACACCTGCCCCCATCAGGTGTTCTACTCTCTTCTACCTTCCAGAAACAATGAGACATCTCCAGTTCACCCAAGGATCATATCCCACACACTGCAGCTTCAATCCACCCCCACTCTCCAGTCGTACTTAAAAATGCGTCTTCTGGGGGCGCCTGGGGGGCTCAGTCGGTTAAGTGTCTGACTTCGGCTCAGGTCATGATCTCACGGTTCGTGGGTTACAAAGCCTGAACCGAAGGATACAGCAATGGTTCAAGGACTCTAGAAAGTAAAGAGTAACAGGCAGATTGAAGAAGATAGAATTCAAAGTACAACCAAACCAGCAATATGAGTATCATTCTTTCCCTACTCTGGAATACTCAGTTGTGACTCGGGGCAATGGCAACAATAGCCTGGGGTGCTGAAAAATGGATTATTGCCTAGCAGTAAGAAGGAACAAATTATTGGTTATCGCAATAGAATACATTACTTATAGATGCATTTTACTAAGTGAAATAAGCCAGATCCAAAAGACTATGATATGACTCAATTCGTATAACATTTTGGAAAAAAAACACTCTGTAGGGACAGAAAACAGGTCATTGATCGACAGAGGATGACGTTCAGGGAGGGGCTGACTATAAACCGGCAGCATAAGGAATTTCTGTGTTGGGGAAAAAACGTGGTATGCATTAAATACTCTCACCTGCTCTTTAACCTCTCTGGACCTAAAGGAAAGACTAACCCCCCCCCCAAAAAAAACCCAAAAAAACCAAAAGCCGACCAACAAAAAAAACAAAGAAACAAAAAGCAACCACACACCAAAAACAAAAAACCAAACCAAACAAAAAGCCCCAAAGCTCATCCAACACCTGGGAAAGAGAAGAGCCCCACTAAGTAGGGAAGGGCGCCCACCGCGGTCCCACCCCTTGTTTCTGCCCTTGATTTGACACGTTCCTCGGATCCTTTGTGACATCTCTGCTGAAGTATTTCTGGAAAATTGCCTCGTTATTTACCTAAGTTGCTTTATTGCATCCCCGATCTCAGGCTGAACCTTGATTTCTCACATTCAGAGTCAGGACTGTGCCTTTGAACACACCTTCACATTTCCCCACGCCAGCCCCTTATTATTAGCCCGTTCTCTTTCAAACAGGGGAAAGATGTGGGGTGTGGAGGGAATGGCAGGCACCTACCCAACCCCAATCCAGCAGAACCTCGGAGTGGCACAGTTAGGGACATGCTGTATAGTATTGACAACAGAGGAACAGGGGCGAGTGGGTGAAAATGAGCAGCACTGCATCCAAGGATGGGAACCCAGTAGGTGAAGCCACATCAGGGCGAGTTCTCCCCAACCTCAGACACACGCTATTCCCTCCACAGCCTAGACCAGCACGTCCTTAGACGTCAGCTCACACGGGTGCCGGCTCTGGTCTGAACACAGGTGGCGACAGAGTCACAGCGTTCTGCACTCTCAGGCTCCCTCAACTTTGGAAGGCATTCCCTTCCTCTCTCATGCCCGAAATCAGATCCAGCTTTCTAGTCTAGCAAGAATGCCTCCCGTTCCGATGCTCCCCAGCGTCAGCTCACACAAACCTCCGTCTTCTCTTAGGTACTCCATGGTCTCAGACGCAGAAACAGAAAGCATTTTCATGGAGCCCATTCACCTCTCCTCGGCCGTTGCAGCTAAAAAGATCATCAATGAAGGTAATGCCGTCAAAGGTGGTTGGGAGCAGGGAGCATCCACAACTCATCTGGGGACCCTCGGGAGGGGCCCCGTGGAGGGTGGCAGTGTGCTTCTCAGGTGCTGCCCAGCCCGTTATCAGGTGCAGATCCAAGAAGGCAGCTCTGCCAACACCATCATCGCCAACCTTCACGAGACGGAGGTGGAAGCCATTATGCATCAGGGTGAATGAACAGCCAGGGAGGCCGTGCCAGTCTGCTCCTGTGGCCTCCCATTCAGTTTTTCAGTTAATCTCGGGGGTCCTGGGGTGGCTTATGTTAGAGACACGGACCTGAAAACCCCAGAAATGACCAGAAGCACCCAGAGAGTTCTGTTCAAAGGGATATCTGGATTTGCATCTGCATTTCCACTAGTGCTCAGAAATGGTTTTCAGTTTGTCTGTTTTTTTTTTTTTTAATGTTTTATTTATTTCTAGGAGAGAGAGAGAGACAGCGTGAGCAGGGGAGGGTCAGCGAGAGAGGGAGTCACAGACTGAAACAGGCTCCAGGCTCTGAGCTGGCAGTCAGCACAGAGCCCGATGCGGGGCTCGAACCCACGAACCGCGAGATCATGACCCAAGCGAAAGTCGGACGCTTAACCGACTAAGCCACCCAGGCGCCCCTCAGTTTGAAGTACATATAAGGAGGAGGTGGGGAAAGGTGGGATGGGAAGAAATGTTAATATGCACAAACATACTCATCCTGATTGTATGGATTTTTTTCCTAATCAATTAAAAAATTTTTAACATTTATTTTTGAGAGAAAGAACATGAGCAGGGGAGGGGCAGAGAGAGACGAAGGCACAGAATCCGAAGCAGGCTCCAGGCTCTGAGCTGTTGGCGCAGAGCCTGAAATGGGGCTCGAACCCATGAACCTTGAGATCGTGACCTGAGCTGAAGTCGGATGATTAACCGACTGAGGCACCCGGGAGCCCCTCTAATCAATTTTGAGCAAATTTCTTTCCTTCTTCCTTTGCCCTGGGTGTCTCTGTCACTGCTGGTGGGATGTGGCCGCAACGCTAATGACACAGGACACTGCTGGGCTTTGGCCTTGGTTTGACGTTCACTGATGGTGGCCACAGTACTGTCCCCGGCCTTTGGTTGTGAGAACCATGTATGCTGCTCCACATAATCCACGTCCTTCTCAGTTCCGAGTCCTTTGGGTCCCCACAGTGTCCCTGAGGACACCTAGATCTCTGGTCCACCTAGTGAGGAGCCAGAAATTCCATTTGCTGCTGCTTGTGATCTGGGTTCCCTGGGAGGCCCCAACTTCTCAAGGAACCCTAGGCTGTTTTCTGTTACCACCCTATGTGGGGTCTCTGTTCCCTTGCTCCAGGCCAGGCCAAAGTGGCTTCACCCAGTCTAGAGCTCTCTAAATTGCCCCCAGGACCACCCTCATCTTGGAAGTTCTTTTTTCCTCCCATGTGTTTGGAAACTTCCCTCACCTTCCAGCCTGCATTATCCCTGCTCTGTGCTTCACTCTCTGGACCCCGCGCCCCCCCCCAGCCCCCACCTGGGTTCTTGATAAGTGAAAACCCAGCTTTAGGAGCTGTGAGAAACCATTTCCTCTCTTTGAAAACTTCACTTTCAAGCCTCTAGAATGCTGTAGACACATCTATAGGACACCGAACATGTAGGTTGAAATCTAAAGCCTTTTTTCAGTTGTAGGGTTTCTCTACTCTCCTCGCATCTGGGGCATCAAGCCTAAGTTTCCTTAGTCTTCTTAGTGGTGGAAGGGTGGTAGGGGAAGGAAAACTATATGACAGAGAAAGGGAAATGTATCAAGTGATATTTCAAAACATCGCCCTGCTCACCAGTGATCAGAGGCATAAAAATGTTTGTTGAAGAATCCTTCATTTTCATGAAAGTCTGCATACGCTTTCCTCTGAAGAAACCTTAGATTGTAGAAATAAATGGAAGAAACTGATGCGGGGGAGTGGGGTTGAAACAGGCTGAGGGGTGGACCAGAGACCTACGGACAGCAGGAGCGAGCTGCCAGGAGGAATGAGCAGCTGGGACATTTGCTTTTCAACTGGAAAGGCAAAACTCAAGACGACAGCCTCCTATATAAATAGCCAAGGAAGACAATGCTGTATATTTTAATGAGGCATCAGGGAGTTTTATTTTTTTTCATGTAGTAAAGGAGAGACATCTCAGGTAGGGGAGGGAAGGGGAGGGGCTCTTGCCTCTGCTAGGTAAGACCCCTGGAGAGCCAGGGGAGAAGACCGAGTGGTAGAGAAAATAGGAGCGCTTCCTCTATTTTTAAACAAAATAGAGCTCTGGGATTGCAAGGGTTTTCTTCTTTCTGATTTTGAAATGGAGATCAGAGAACGTTTAGAGCTGAGACCTGACGCAGGGATACGGGGGCCCATCAGGTGGTTCAGGAAAGGGAGGAGAGAGAGAGAGAAGAGCTTTAGGGAAACAGAGTGCTCAGCCCTGGCTAGAACGCCGAACTCCAGGACCGCAGGCCCAGAGCAAGCCGGCACAGACACCTGTTCGTCCCGTGAAGGGCGGGGCCTCGCCTCGTTGCCCGATGTGGCTCCTCACCCATCAGAGAAAGAGACGGTGGCGGCAAGAGGCTGTGGCAACACAGACGACACGCCTTTCTTACTTTTTTCCATCTCCAGTCAGGACTTTTGGCTACCAAGTGGCAGGAGAGGATTTGCCCTCCACTGTTCTGGTAGACCTTCTCAGAGAAAGAAATATCTTACTCTCCCCCCAGATTTGATAAATTGAGAACAAAAATATTCAGAGGAGGAAGTAAAGGGTCACTCGAGATGTGGGTGAATGGGTCTTGAATTCATTTGGAACCTGAGCTTTTCAGAACTGTTGGCGAGAAGGCCCTGAGCGCTGTGGGGACTGGCGTTGGAGGCCCTGGCCAACCTCTGCCACCCGCTGGAGAGCTGGGGGGCCGGGACTCACAGGTGCTCGCACTCCAGTGGGAAGAAGCAGATGACACATGAAATAAATAAAATAAACGTGTCTGGGAAAGGGATCAAATATCAATGCTGAAAGTTTTACTTTTCCCAAGATTATCAGCATTCCGTATGTCAAGGAGTCATACTAAAAGACTGAATTATGTTGTGAAAGAATGTTCTCTGTCTCTCTCTCTCTCAAAAATATAAACATTAAAAAACTTTTTCTAAAAAGGGGCACCTGGGTGTCTCAGTTGGTTTGGCTCAGGTCAGGACCTCATGGTCTGTGGGTTCGAGCCCCGCATCGGGCTCTGCGCTGACAGCTCAGAGCCTGGAGCCTGCTTCCAATCCTGTGTCTCCCTCTCTCTCTGCCCCTCCCCTGCTTGCTCTCTGTCTCTCTCTCTCTCAGAAATAATAAACATTAAAAAAATTAAAAATTAAAAAAGAATGTCATGTGTTCATTTGGTAAATGATTTTCCCCTGTATGGAGTACTGTGGGAACGTGAGTGTGAATCAGACATATGCCAGGTGCTTGAGGACGTTGGGCGAAGAAATCAGCAGCCAGCTTTAGAAAATTCAGGAAGGAGTTAGGGAAACCAATGTCCCTTCACCTTACACCTATGTACCTCTCTGCTGCCGGTTCTGACCACAAGTGCCCAGGCCAACGCAGGCCCCCCGCCCTGGCCTTCGTTAAGTCCTCCCTGGCACTTTGGCTCATGCCCAGAGTCCTAGCAGCCGGCTGGCCAAGAGTGGATTCTCCTGAGAAGCAGGGAGGCTCATGGTGCTCTTGACTCTGTGACGAGAATGCTGCCTGTGCCTTCCAGAATTCAAGCCACGGGGCATCCGAGCCAAGGCAGAGTGTCCAGGCTTGCTGGAGTCGGCCGAGCAGCTGCTGGTGGAGGACTTGTACAACCGCGTCAGGGAGAAGATGGACGACACCAGCCTCTACAACACCCCCTGCGTCCTGGATCTGCAGCGGGCCTTGGTCCGAGATCGCCAGGAGATCCCCTGGAATGAGGTGGATGAGGTCTGGCCCAATATCTTCATAGCAGAGAAGTGAGTCTGATGCCGGGGTGGGGGGATGGGTCATGACCCTTTGTCCTACCCTGCTGGGCAGTGTCCGAAAGACTTGAAAGGCCCCCACTTTCAGCCAAGGCCCCAGGAGCTCCATCCAGCAAATTGGTGCTGCCTGACGGGACATTTTGAAGCCGGTGATGATACCGATTTTTATGCGTATTACCAACCAACGAAAAATTTCACAAGAGGCTCCATAGGTTACAAATTATATATATATATATATATATATATATATATATAGTATGATATGTACGTATAGTATGATATCAAACTACAAATTATATATATAGTATGATGCTCATTGAGCAATATATAGGTGCATATGTGTATGCGCTTTTGCATAGACAACAAATTCGAAACGAATGAGATAAAAGTGTAACCATCAGGAGATGATTCTACAACTGATTTTTATTTTCTTCCTTGGGTTTCTTTTGAATTGTATGGATTTCCTAAGGGGACATGACTTGTTTTTATAATCAGAAAAATGTTATTTTTAAAAAGCTTATGAGGGGCACCTGGGTGGCTCAGTTGGTTAAGCGTCCAACTTCGGCTCAGGTCATGATCTCACGGTGTGTGGGTTCAAGCCCCGCGTCGGGCTCTGTGCTGACAGCTCAGAGTCTGGAGCCTGTTTCAGATTCTGTATCTCCCTCTCTCTCTGACCCTCCCCTGCTCACACTGTCTCTCTCTCTCTCTCAGAAATAAATAAAACATTTTTAAAAATTTAAAAAGCTTATGAGTGGTTTCTGGAACAAAACCCAAAACCATTCACTCATGCCCTGTTCCCTCAGGGTCTTGCCGGTGCCTCGTTGGTACCAATAGGCTCGTTTGTGAGACTAAGGTTTGCTGATCTATTGGCTACTTAAGGAGTTATCCCCCAGTGTCATTACTCAGACATGCAGAAGCGAAGGAGGGAATTTGGGGCCCCATGGCAGGCGGTAGGGAAGATAACTTTGCACTGTGGGTCTTTTTTTTTTTTTTAACATTTATTTATTATTGAGAGACAGAGAGAGACAGAGCATGAGCAGGGAAGGGGCAGAGAGAGGGGGAGACACAGAATCCAAAGCAGCTCCAGGCTCCGAGCTGTTAGCACAGAGCCCGACGCAGGGCTCAGACTCACAAACCGCGAGATTGTGACCTGAGCTGAAGGGGCGACTGAGCCCCCAGGTGCCCCTGGATGGTGGGTCTTGAGTCGCCCCCCCCCCACCGGAAGTAGTCTGTTGCCTAGAACCTGATTCTCAGAGCTGGGCACCAAGTCCTAAGCGATCTCTAGCTAGCTCTGTAGACCCAGAAACATTCACGTCGGGCTCACCAGGGACCCCAGACACCCCCAGATAGCCCCAGGCTGCTTCTGCTCCTTTCTTCAGGGCCTCTTCAAACTAAGCTCCACTGATTCACTGCTGCCTATAAAGAGCTCTGAACTACAGACCAGAGACACCTGCCCTTGTTCGGTCCTTTCTTCCTTTCACTCTTGGGAAGTCATAAAAGCTGTCGCATTCATTTTCATAATCTTCAAATGGGAATAAAAATAGTTGCCCTGTCTATGTCTTAAGTTGAGAATGAGGGATAAAGTAAGATCATGCACGCGAAAGGACTTTGAAAACTACAGCATCCCTAATCAATGTGAAGCACACTGGCTTTGAGTATTATTTTTGTCTGCCACTTTTGTGCCTTTTTTTTTCAAGTTTTATGTATTTAAGTCATCTCTACACTCCACGTGGGGCTCGAACCCACAACCTGGAGATCAAGAGTTGCACGCCCCTCCGACTGAGCCAGCCGGGCTCATCTGCCACTTTCGTACCTTGATGAATGTCCGTCCCCAAGGCAGAGGATTTAAACCAGAGATCTGTGGACCAAGACCTCCTTACACCTCACTCCTATTCTCCCCTTCATCCTGCACCCCCCCCTCCGGCCCAGCTCCCTGTGCCTTCTCTCTCTCGCCCCTTTTCATAACTGTGTTTGCAGTGAGCCCCGGACCCATCTGGCAGCAAAGGAGGCACTTACAGAGCCACGGCCGTCCCGACCCTGTCGGTGCCGGGGGGGGTGCACCTTTCCTTCCTAGCTCTGACTCTCGCCAAAATGGTCTCTGCCTCTTCTCCCCAGGAGCGTAGCCGTGAACAAGGGGAGGCTGAAGAGGCTGGGAATCACTCACATCCTCAATGCTGCTCACGGCACTGGCGTCTACACTGGGCCCGAATTCTACACTGGCCTGGAGATTCAGTACCTGGGTGTGGAGGTGGATGACTTTCCCGAGGTGGACATCTCCCAGCATTTCCGGAAGGCCGCCGAGTTCCTCGATGAAGCCCTGCTGACCTATAGAGGTGAGGGGGCGCTGCCTGCTCCAGGCCGCTAGAGTCAGTTCCGCAGGGGGAGACGCAACGGGAGATGTCATGGCAACCTCCGGGTTACCTGGCGTGCCTGGAGGTCATGTGTCTTAAGAGATTTTTGTCGCATTCTCAGAAGAGGGGAAAGGCAAGGAGATCGTCCACCTTACCGGTAGTGACTGAGGGTCCCCCATGCACAGGCGCTGTTGTAGGTGCTGTGGCGGAAGGTACAGAACAGGCTTTGAATCCCACGCTGTAGTGACGGGGGGGAAGATTGCAAAGAAAAATGTCAGTGACAAGCGTGAGGCAGAGACTAACTAAGCTGACGTGTTGGAGTGACTGGTGGGCCCCCTGGGGAGGCTGGTGGAGAGGTCCTCTCTGAGAAGGGGACATTGAGCTGAGTGACAAGAAGGGACGAGCCACGGAGAACTGGGAAGAAGAGCGTTCCCGGCCAGGGGAAGTGCTAGTGCAAAGCTCCGGGAGTGGAGTAAACTGGCGGGTTCAGGATCACAGGCGGGTGCGGATTAGCGTGGCGGGGGCGGGTCAGGGTGGCAGCGGCCAGTCCTGCGGGAAGCTGACCGCCAAGGTGAGGGAGTCGGAAAGCACCTTGATCTGATCTACATTTTACAAACCTCGCTTGGGGCGCCTGGGCGGCTCAGTCGGTTAAGCGTCCCACTGGCTCAGGTCATGATCTCACGGCTCGTGAGTTTGAGCCCCGCGTCAGGCTCTGTGCCGACAGCTCAGAGCCCCTGGAGCCTGTTCGGATTCTGTGTCTCCCTCTCTCTCTGCCCCTCCCCCACTCATGCTCTGTCTGTCTCTGTCTCAAAAAAAAAAAAAAGGAAACCTCGCTCTCTGGGCTTAGGAGACCACAGTGGTGGGAGGCAGCAGAGTGGATAGGACCCCTCGGTGAGGATGGGCTGCAGCCCATGTGAGGGCGTGGATGCGAGCGCCACAGACCTGGGCTTGAGCCCAGGCTTTGCTACGCTTTCTCTATTCCTTGGGATCTTGGGTGGTTCCATTCTCCAGCAGAACCTCAGTTTCCCTGAGTACAGCACAGAGACAAAGAGACCTCATTCTCCTAAAATTGCTGTGAGGAGTAAAATTTTAAATGCACATAAGAGCTGCAAGTAAATGTATGTATATATGTATATTTATAAATACACATGTATATATATCTATACATAGAGAGAATGTTTTTATATATGTATAGATTTTTATTAAAGTGAAATTTATAAGGACACCTGGGTGGCTCAGTGGTTAAGAGTCCGACTTGGGCTCAGGTCATGATCTCACGGTGCATGAGTTCAAGCCCCACCAGCGGCTCTGTGCTGACAGCTCAGAGCCTGGAGCTGCTTCAGATTCCGTGTCTCCCTCTCTCTCTGCCCCTCCCCCTGCTCACGCTGTCTCTGTCTCTCAAAAATAAACAAATGTTTTAAAAAAGTGAAACTTATAAATTTTACATACATATATTACATATATATGCATAATATGAAACAGTTTTCTCCCCTTTTCAATGCTTTAGTTTTTAAATTTTTATTTATTTAATTTATTTTTATGTTTTTTTATTTATTATTGAGACAGAGAGAAACAGAGCATGAGTGGGGGAGGGTCAGAAAGATAGGGAGACACAGACTCCAAGCTGACTCCAGGCTCTGAGCCGTCAGCACAGACCCTGATGCGAGGCTCGAACCCACGAACCGTGAGATCATGACCTGAGCCGAAGCCGGTCGCTTAACCGACTGAGCCCCCCAGGCGCCCCCCTTTTTTCAATGCTTTAAAAAAAAAAAAAACCAACAACTTCTTTTTAAAAATGTGTTCCTTCTGACCAGTGTGCGCGTCTACAAATGCCAGCCAGGCGGGTGCGTCTCGCCCGAAGCGGCCTGGCGACTCCGGCCCAGCGGGCGGCGCCGCGGAGAGGGTGTAGACGCGGCCTGTGGCGGGCCGGCCTGGGACTGTGGGCGGCGCGGACGCGCAAATCTACTTTGACTTCAACGGGAAAGGCGCCCCCTGGAGTTGTGCAGAGCACAATCTATAACAGTGTTAGTGTGACCTTGAGCCTAACAGAAGATAGACAATCCGGTCACCCAGGGTCTGAGCCACCTAGCCTCTCCCTTGTTCCGCAGGCTGCCGCTAAGGCTCCATGGAGGAGTCCCAGGGTGCAAGGAACACAGCATGGAAAAGCACGGCTCGCCCAACTTTGTCTCTGCCAGACTGAGTCTAAGAAGCATTTGATGCCATGTCCTGATTGGGAAGCTTGGCTGGTTGTGCCTGAAGTGTCCTGATGTGAGCTGGCCTGGGAACCCCTTCTTCGAAGGGAGGAAGGAAGACTTTGGCGCTGGCAGTAGCAAATGGTGGCCTGGTCAGCCAGTTAAAGGGAGGCCCTTGGTGGGGCGCCTGGGGGGTTCAGTCGGTTATGCGTCTGACTTCGGCTCAGGTCATGATCTCACGGTTTGTGGGTTCGAGCCCCGCATCAGGCTCTGTGCTGACGGCTCAGAGCCTGGAGCTGCTTGGGATTCTGTGTCTCCCTCTCTCTCTGCTCCAACCCTACTCACACTCTGTCTCTCTGTCTCTCTCTCTCTCAAAAATAAGTAAAACATTAAAATGTGTTTAATGAAATTAAAATAAAGGCAAGACAGCTGAGCCTGGAGCTGGAGGGGAAGAGAGGAGACCGTAAAGGTGCAGACGCACTTTAGCTGCTCTGACTCTGCCCACGTGCTGCCCCCTACTGACTGCTGGCCTTTGGCGATAATGCCTTTCAGCCTTATTGGGCCTCAGGTCCCTTCGAGTCCTGCCTTGGTCTCCGGTCTCCTGTGTGGCCGATAAGGTCTCAGCCGATGCAAAGGTGTGCGGACACAAGTCATCCCCCGCCAGTCCCGTGTTGTTAGCTGGGACCCTTAACCGATTTGACAAACATCCCCAAAGACTGTTGGCAAATAGATTGACGGCAGTCTGGAAGGGGGTCTCCAGCGGCTCCAGGCCGCGTTGTAAGCAGCCATTAGAACGAAGGCATGTTTGTCACGTTTACAAAGGATACAAGGCAGAAACCGAGGCTAGGGGATAATTGAGTTGTTGAATGCCAGGGTCAAGACTTGGTCAAAGTTTTTGTTAGCTTGTAAGAACAGGTTATATATACCAAAAACATGAATAGGGGTTCGTGAAGTTACCCTTATGTTTTAAAAATGCTACAAAAAAGTGACACAAGTGGCAGTTTGAAAAAAAAGGCTTTACAGGCATCAATCGATATAAAACACAGTCTGAGATCACTCTGGGACATCTCCGCGCACACGGCAAGCTTACTTGGCACGTGTGAGGGCTCGGTGTCCAGAGTAAGAGCGGAGAGGCCCACTCTGCCCTGTGTGGGCCAGTCCAACCCGGAAATATATCTGCTCCATCCTGAACGGGCTCCTAAGAAAAAGACTGATAAAGTTTGACTTGCAAGGTTGGCTGGTACAGTTGTGGGACAAGTAAGGATGTCTGAATAATGATTGAAAGACCCAGAATCGCTAGGAAAAGAAAACAATTAATGAGGAATATGGTAGTGATCTTCTTAAGTATTTTTTTTGTATAAAAGGCCCCGTTCACACATCTGTATTGACCCAGAAGGTCAGGTTAGGAGCACCGGGTGCCCATTACAGAAAGGTATATTTTGCCCTAACATGTGAAAGAAGTTTCAAAAGAGTAGATTGATCTAAATATGGAGTGAAGGGTGTGTGTGTGTGTGTGTGTGTGTGTGCACGTGCATGCATACGATCCTGAGCTCTCTGCCACAGACGCATCCAGTCTCGACTGGATGGTGGATGACCCAGCGTCGAGGATGCTGTAAGGGAATTCTCAAGTCTCCTCTGTGTCTGGAGTCCTTTCCCACACTGACTCTACGTGTCTGTGATGCCTCCGTCTCAGCTGCACTTCTTTTCTTCTTTCTTCCCCCTTCCCCTACCCTTTTTTCTAATGTTACTTATTTTAAGAGAGAGAGAGAGAGAGAGCTCGTGAGACCGTGCACGGGGGGAAGGGGCAGAGAGAGAGAGGGAGGGAGAGAATCCCAAGCACATTCCTCGCTGTCAGCGCAGAGCCCAGCACGGAGGCCGGTCCCTTAAACCACGAGATCCTGACTTGAGCCGCAATCAGGACTGAGCCGCCCAGGCGCCCGGCCCCCAACTCCCTCGTTTCTCCTCCCCTGCGGCTCAGCTGAGCGAGCAGAACGCAGACCCGCGCTCTGGCCGTTCACGAGTGAGGACGCTGGTTGGTTTTCCTTCCCTCCTTGAGGCCGCCCGTGTTCGGTGCGGAAGACGCTCACGCCCGTCGTGGCGGCCTCGCTGCCCTCCTGAACACGTGTGATGCGGGCAGAGATGCCCGTCCCTCGTGGGACTTGAGCGCAGGAGAACGCCAGACATCTAAAGGGCTCGTTTTACGCCTGTAAGGGGGCCGCCGTAGTTACACTACCATGCCTTGCGTTTCCCTCCAGGGAAGGTCCTGGTCAGCAGCGAGATGGGCGTCAGCCGGTCGGCGGCGCTGGTGGTGGCCTACCTGATGATCTTCCACGACATGGCCGTCCTGGACGCCCTGAGGGCGGTGCGCCGCAGGCGGGCCATCCGCCCCAACGACGGCTTCCTGCGGCAGCTGCGGGAGCTCAACGAGAGGCTGATGGACGAGAGGGACGGCGACGGCCCGGAGGCGGGGGCGGACGCGGACGCGCGCAGGGCCCGGGTGCGCGCCCTCTCGGTGGCGGAGGAGGACGACGGCCGCAGCCTTCTGAGCGGCTCCTCCCTGGGGGGGGCCAGCGCGGCCTCGGGGCCCCCCGCCCTCACTGACGAGGAGGAGGAGGAGGAGGAGGAGGAGGAGCCGCGTGCGGAGTGGGAGGGGGGGCAGGGCCTCCCCGCGGGCGGGAGTGGCCGGCGCTCGGCCCCCGGCCCGGGTGCGGAGGGGCCTGAACACGAGGCTGTGGAGCGGCGGATCCGGGAGTGGCAGAGCCGGAACGAGCGGCACCAGGCCGAGGGGCACCAGAGGTGGGGGAGGGAGGAGGCGGAGGGGGAGCGGGAGGGGGAGGAGGCGGAGGGGGAGGGGGAGGAGGAGGAGGAGAGCCGCGCCGCGCGGGCCCTGACGCGGCAGCTGCGGACGCGCACCGGGGGCGCGGGCGCCGCGTGGGGCCCGGGGCTGCTGCAGGCGGGGGCGGGGGCGGCCCGGGGGCGCCGGGAGGCGGACGCGGGCTCCGAGGCGCCGGAGGACGACGCGGAGAGCGTGTCCTCGGGGCGCAGCTCGTTCTACGGCTTCTGCGGCAGGAACAGGGACACGCTCACTGCCCTGGAAAGGTGGAAGGTCAAGAGGATCCAGTTTGGATTCCACAGGAGAGAGCTGGGGGCGGGGGACCCCGGCGGCGAGCCGGGGGCAGGGGGGGCGCGGGGCGAGGAGCCGCTCCCCGACGTGAGCCTGACCGCCTACCAGGCCTGGAAGCTGAAGCACCAGAGGCAGGCGGGCGGCGGGCGCAGGGAGGAGGCAGCGGAGCTCGGCCGGCCGGACGCCGCCGCCTCGGCCAAGAGGAGGCAGCGGAGGCTGGAGCTGCTGGAGAGGAGCCGGCAGGCGCTGGCCGACAGCCTGTCCGCGGGGGGCGGGGGCGCGGCCGGGGCCGACGGGGACGCGGCGTCGGTCCTCAGCGCGCGGAGCCGCAGCGCCGGAAGCCCCGCGGGGCCCGCAGACGCCCTGTCCGTCGCCAGCATTCAGAGCTGGATCGCCAGCGTGGTCAGCGAGACCCTCGCCCTGAAGCAGGGGGAGACGCTGCTGCTGTGGCGCCCGCCGTCCGCGGCCGGCTGCCTGGGGGACGACCCGGTGTCGCTGCTCAGCGGACACGGCGGCTCCTCGGCGGGCGCCCGCCCGCTGCCCCAGGGCCCGCCCGGCTCCGGCTCCGACCCGCCCCGGCCGCCGGGCCCCAGGGCCGAAGGCCTCGGGGGCAGAGCCCGGGGGACCAGCAAGCCCGTCTACAGCCTCTTTGCTGACGACGTGGACCTGCAGGAGCTCGGCCGCAGGGAGAGGGAGATGCAGACGGAGCTGAGGGAGAAGATGGCCGGGTACCGGCTGGAGAAGCTGGCCTCCGACAGCAAACGGAGCTCCCTTTTCAAGAAGAAGGTGGTCAGGGAGGGGGACGCCGACGCGGGTGACAGGGACGAGGACGCCGACAGCGCCCTCGGCAGCCTCCGGCACTCCTCCCGCAGCACCTCCCGGGAACCCGAGACGGACGCCGCGCCCCCGGCTGCGCCTGGTGGCCGCGGGGGCGCCGTGGACGGCAGCGTCGCCAAGTGGCTCCGTGGCCTCAGGACGGAGCAGACATCTCCTCCCCGGAGCGACGGGTCCGGAAGCGCCAGGGGGGAGTCCGCCCGGGCGTCCCTGCACCGGGAGGCGTCCAGCTACGAGTTCTGCAGGCGCCAGTCCGAGCGGCGGGACGCGTCCTCCTACCGCGAGGCGGGGGGCGGCTCGGTAAGGAGCGCTTCGCGGGCCTCCTCCTCCTCGACCAGGGAGGGCCGAGAGACGCACAGGTTCTCCAGGTCCGCGTTCAGCGGGGAGAGCCCCGAGCCCTCGGGAGGGGGGCGGTCCCCGGACCCGCGGCGTCGGACCTGGGCCCGGCCCAGCGCCTGGGAGGACGTGGAAGAGTCGTGCAGCTCGGACTTTTCTGACTTCGGAGCCAAGAGGAAGTTCACCCAGAGCTTCGTGAGGTCTGAAGAGGAGGGAGAGAAGGAGAGGACGGAGAACAGAGAGGAAGGGCGGTTTGCGGCAGGCCGGCGGTCCCGGTATCGCAGAAGCACCGACGGGGAGGAAGAGGAAGAAGCGGACGATGAAGCCGTCATCGCCGCCTGGAGACGCCGCCAGGAGGAAACCAGGACTAAGCTGCAGAGGCGGAGGGAGGAGTAAGCTGGGCTTGGCGGACCCGGGCCACTGAGGGCGTGGGAAGAAGCCGGACAGCCTACCACGGGGTGGGGACACACTCGCCACCGCCCACCGAGGGACAGGGACGTGGAGAGGGTCATCCTGGGGGCCAGAGCCTCCGTGAGGGGCACCGGGCAGCAGGGTGGCATAGAGGAGGGGGGGGGGCGTCGGTGTGAGGTCGGAATGCGAGGCCACCTGACACCATTTTCTGTTGCCCAGTGTCCCCTTAAGCTTTGACGCGTCACTTGTGTATTTGACAGTGTCCATCGCCTACTGGAGAGGTGAGCTTGCCATGGAACCCTAGCTGGCCGGAGACTTCGGCTTATGACCAGGGAATACCGAATGCAGGACATGGCTCCGTTTGTGGGTTTATAATGAGACCCAGGAAATGTCTCCTGTGGCAAGGCTCACCTCTCCTGACAAAGCTGAGTTCCGGTTGTTTCTTTTCAGTGTTCTGGATCTCCATTAAAGTGCTATGTTTTCGGGGCGCCTGGGGGGCTCAGTTGGTGAAGCGTCTGACTTCGGCTCAGGTCATGATCTCACGGTTCGTGGGTTCGAGCCCCGCGTCGGGCTCTGTGCTGACAGCTCAGAGCCTGGAGCCTGTTTCAGATTCTGTATCTCTGTCTCTCTCTGACCCTCCCCTGCTCACACTCTCTCTCTCTCAGAAATAAATTTTTTAAAAATTCAAAAAAATAAAATAAAATAAAGTAGTATGTTGTCAAACGTTTCCCCCTTCGTTCTGGTCACTTTTAGGTCATTGAACCCACCTTAAAAGACAGAGATGGGTTATTATGAGCCAGACCTACCTCGTTCCATAACACGGTGCCTCCAGATAATACCACTGTCATCACATTAAAACAGTGATCAAGTATTTCATCGATGATACAATGTAGTGGGAAGACATGAGGAAGACTCTTGAGAATCACAGTGAATTAGAGATGGGGTTTTATTGTGGTAAGAGATACAGGTGGAGAGGGGCGGTCCCTCTGGGGCAACAGGGAAACAAAAGCAAACCATGGGGGGTGGGAAGAAAAGAAACCCAAAAAGGAGATAGAGACAGGGCTTTATGAAATCTTGTCACCCTGGCTTTTCATTGCTTGGAGGGTGGTTGGACGATGCAGTCAGTGGACAGCCGGCTGGATCCTTCCTGCACTCTGGATGAGCTAGGTTGGTGAGAATTCTTTACCCTTTATCCCCTAGGGCATGTCTGCCTTCCCAGGCACAGGTTGGGCTCCTGAATCCAGCGGACATGTTTTGAACACCTTGTGACAAGCATTGGTGGGTTGGTTTCCACAGTTCCTTTCACCCCGCAGTACCTCGCAGGATTTAAAAATAGGCATGTGCCATGCAGGGCTCAAGGATGCCTGGGTCATTCAAAAAAGCCAATTCAGGAGATACAGTTGGCGATAGGGTGATCAATGGGAGGGAAGGAGGGTGGCAAGGAATTCACCAACGGGATAAATAGTAGGTGATTGTGAAGCGTGTGACCAGTGTTTTTGTTTCTTTTTTTTTAAGCCGAGATTCATGGGATGTGGAGATTATTTGGCCTTGCCATGTGGATTATTAGTCAGGCATCAAACATTTCAATGAGCACAAAGATAAAAATACTAAGGCAGAAGGGAGCAGGCATGAGCTCAAACTCAGAACTGCGCACAGTTGCTGTCAAAGCAATTGATTTAATTTGCTCGCCTTCCATCTAATCCTTCAGGCTCCGGTTCAGCTGCCTCTGATGGTGCCCCCTCTCCTCTCTGGCTGAGAGGAAGAAAGAGGCCTTGGAAAAAATACTGCTCGTTTTTGTTCCATTTGCTCCTTTCGTTCTCCCTTTGCTCACTGAATTTCAGTGAGCTTTGGTCCCTGGTTTCCAGAGCTTGATAGAACATTCTCGTCGTATGAAACGACATCATCTTAATATGCCCTCAACAAGGGGCTCCTGGGAGGCTCATTGGGTTGAGCGTCCAACTCTTGGTTTCAGCTCAGGTCATGATCTTATGGTTTGTGGGGTCAAGCCCCGACTCAGACTCTCTCTCTCTCTGCCTCTTCCCAGCTCGCTCGCTCTCTCGCTCTCTCTCTCTCTCTCTCTCTCAAAATAAATAAACTTTAAAAGAGTGGCCCCCAACAAGAAGGCTAGATGTAGCCCATTTTCGGCTGTGGACCACGAGGCTTCCTCTCTCATTTCACTCCTATGGGGAAATTTCTTGCATAAGCACAGTAAACTGGGAGGTCAGCCTTCTGGAAGGAGCGATGAGAATGTTCCCGGGACAACAGCTGTCTTTTCCTTTTCTGATCTTCTTACCTTGAATAACCTTGTGATTCAAGGGTAAATACTTAGGAAACCAAGATCAAGGATGAATAGACCGAATGAACTGACAGGCAAGCCAAGCAGCCTCCCCCGGCATCCATCCATAGGAGCGAACTGACTTGGGCCTTCACACGGGTCTCTCTCGTTTTTAACATAAGTGGAAAATATAAATAAGGTGATCTCAGTCACATCAAGGTAGACAAGTAATGTTTTAAAAACATACTTAGGGGACGCCTGGGGGGCTCAGTCAGTTAAGCCTCCGGCTTCGGCTCAGGTCATGATCTTGTGGTCCGTGGGTTCGAGCCCCACGTCGGGCTCTGTGCTGACAGCTCAGAGCCTGGGACCTGTTTCAGATTCTGTGTCTCCCTCTCTCTGACCCTCCCCAACTTATGCTCTGTTCCTCTCTGTCTCAAAAATAAATAAATGTTAAAAATGTTTAAAAAATAAATAAATAAAAATAAAAAATACTTAGTCACTCCCAACTCATACCCCACTGAATGGAGGTTGAACAAACATGTAAAACTCATGGTTTCAAGAGCCACTCAGTCTTTCCAAAGCCTTGAGTGTGAAGCTGGGGGGACACAGACGGCTTTTAGCTGCGCTCGTAGGCTAGAGGGCAACACTGGCCGCCATGCTGAGGAGCTCAGCTCACTAGAGGATGAAACCAGAGAGCGGCAAGGTCAGGACCTGGAGATCAGCCTTTCCCTCCCGTGTCCCCACGGGGAGCTCCTTTAGAATCCCGTAGGTAGAGAGGCGTCTGTCGGAGAGTTTAGGGTGCTGAATTCAGCTCATTCCTGGAGTCCAGACTTGATTTTAGGAAATGACACCAATAGACATTTTATGTGATTTTTGATAAGCCTGAAGGAAGGGCTGGGATTTAGAGCGTGGGGATCTCAACTGCACCTTCTGCACGAGACCAAACCCAGGGTGATAGGTTGCACTCCAGCCTTCCAGTCTCTGAGTGACATTAAAGGGTATGTGTTGTCTGTAAAGGTCCCAGTAGGTGGCACAGCCCCACTGGAAACTGATGAGAGTTTAATGCAGGAACTATGCGTGGGCATGGGTGTGGGGACGGGAAGGAATAGTAAGGCACCCAGATACTAGCAATAGTGAGAAGTGGATACCACCCTAGGGCTGAAGGAACAATGTGTGTGTGTGTGAGGGGGGGTGCTGTTTGCAGAGTCCAGAAGAGCCACAACCACGGGATGAGGACCACCGACACCTGGCAGAGCAGTGGGAGGAACGAATACCCTGACTTCTCTCTCTTCCTAGCTTGTGATGTCACGCTCGTAACTCTCACTGGCCAAGCCTACCTGGAATCCAGCGGAAGGGGAGCCCAGAACGGGAGTGCTGGAGAAGAGCGAGAAAGCGGCTCAAAAGGGGCAAACAGAGGGTAGTAGCACAGAGGTGAATACTTTTAAATGGAAAGGCCATGTCTGTGGAGCCTCCCCAATGATGTTGTTTTAAGTGACTGAGAACAATGTGCATTGAACACAAGATCGATCTGCTCTTAAGAATTCATTAATAATTGGATCAGGGTTTTAGCTACACAGAACCAACTAATAGCGTCAGTGATTTTGTTTTACAGGGAAGAAAAGAGAAGACCGACCTGAATCTCTGTCCTTTGCCTAGTCCTGAGCTGTGTAGAGTTCACTAGGAGAAAACTCCCACAATAAGGGGAGACTAGTGTGCAGAAGGGCACCCCAAAAGAGTGGAAGTACTGCACAGAATTCTAAAGTGGGGGGTGAGAAAGACAGAACAGATTTTTTGGCCTCAAAGGTGAGGCTTCGGAGGGGAAATGAAAGCATGGAGGCTGTGAGAAGCCCAAATTAGGGTAATTCAAAAAGGGAGGCCTATGAAGGAGTGATTTACAAAGCTGTGGGCAGAACGTAGAGAGGTAGCGTGCACCCCAGGCCCAGGGGTCACATCTCTAGGCTGAAGAGGCAAGCGCACTGAGCCGTCGCGGGAGCCCTAGCGACAGAGAGGGCTGGCTGCATGGAGGGCGCTGTCTTACAAGAGCTGACACCCTTGGTCTTGAAACCAGCCTGGCTGGACCCCACAGGGAAGGAGCCAGAGGTGTTCAGCCTCCAGTCTCCTGCGGGTCTCCCCACAAACCAAAACCCAGAGGCAGGAGAGTTGGTGCATGTGGTGCGTCCATCCGATCAGCCCCAGGGGCACAGAGGAGGGCGGGGAGCGTGGGGTGTGGAGCTGGAAGGGCCAAAGGAAGATACCCAACAGTGGTGACGCTGGGACAGTGTGCCAGCTAGCTTGGGACACAGTGGGGATGCCGGATTGTGAGGACTCTGCTTGTGGTGTTAGGAATGTTACAGAAGAGGGATGTGAATTTCCCTGGACTCACTGGAACTTTTACTCCTGGCGTGGCTTAGGAGAATTATGACCCAATGACAAATGAGCCTCGGCTCAGTAGTGTGCCAGATCTATCAGCAGAGCATCCACTAAAGCTTGAAAGCCCACAGCCAGGTCTGGCACCTCCCTACCCGTCTTGCCTGCACCTGGGCCAGGTAACTCCGCCCACTCCATTTGCCCCCTTCATTCTGTTACCGTCTCCACTCCCCAAACCAGGTCTCCTTTATTTATTTATTTATTTTAATGTTTTATTTATTTCTAGGAGAGAGAGAGACAGCGTGAGCAGGGGAGGGTCAGAGAGAGAGGGAGTCACAGACTAAAACAGGCTCCAGGCTCTGAGCTGGCAGTCAGCACAGAGCCCGGCGAGGGGCTCGAACCCACGAACCGCGAGATCATGACCGAAGCGAAAGTCAGACGCTTAACCGACTAAGCCACCCAGGCCCCCCATAACCAGGTCTCCTTTATGCACCACCTGGCCTTTGCGACTGCCCTCCTAACCAGTTCCAGACTCTTCTCTTTTCTGTCCTGTCTAGAACCAGACTAATCTTCCCAGGGTTCATAATTTCTGTTCTTTTTTATTCCTCTGCTTAAAAAATGCTATGTCCCCTACTGCCTTTGTGATGAAGCTTACATTTCTTCACGTGGCGACGAGGGCCGCCTGATCTTCCATTTCTAGCCCTAGCCGTTGCCACCCTCACGTGCCACACCTCCCATCGTGTGTGAACAGCACACCATTCCACAGCCTCCTCTGTGCCCGTTCTGAGGCTGCCCCTCTGCCTCGGGCCCCCACGTGCCCTGCCGCCTCCCCGCTGCCGACCCGACGCCCTCCAAGCACCTCCTCTTCTTATAAACCTCTTCCAGCCTCCTGGGC